TCAGTCTGCATTCATACAAAAAGCTGTACTTTCACTGCTTAGACATGGATTTCTGCGCTGAAATGGATAAATTGATGTGAGAATTGAAGAATAAAGATGAATCAGAATATTATAAGATCTGGGATAATTTTTATCGATGGTTGGAATATAAAAGGGAAAGCTCAAAGTAGGAATGGAGACTAGAATTATGTATGTATGAAATGATAAATGCGAAAATGTACAAGATAAATACAAACTAATAAGGCTGGAAATAGGTTACTTTTTTCTTTTTTGTAAATACAGTATGGATCAAATGTTTTTAAAAAACCAGGGTGGCTAAAATGTATAACTGAATATCTTAGCATGTATGGCATAGATTCTGCCAGGACAGTTTATACTGTGTCTAATTTATGTTTAATTAAAAATTTAATAAAATTAAAATGTGGGTTCTATGTAAGGCAACATTCTCATTCAACAAATGATTTGGATTTGGAAGATGAGAGTTGCATTATTGCCAACTAAATTCCAGGATGAATGGTTACCTGTTATAAGTCTGTATTCAGCTAATATATATATTAATATTATAATTAGACATTCTACTATCTCCTTGCAAAAATTTCAAAACAATCCATGTTGTTCCTGGAGCAAATGTCCTTGCCTTCAATGTGTATTAATTATTATGTTAGGATAATAATAAAGGACAATATAGTCTGTGATTAAACATATAATTATTCTAGTTCATCAAAGTTGGTTGATCTGATTAAGTCATTTCAGAAAATGACTCAATTTCTGCTCCTCTATATAAGTGTTCTCTGTATAACTAGCCATTTCAACTGCAGAAATCCATGTCTAAGCAGTGAAAGTACAGCTTTTTGTATGAATGCAGACTGAAAATCCAAATGTAGATGTGCATTGTTTTATTCTATTATTATTTCTTCCCATAATTGTATGGACTTTAATAATTCTTCGTATATTTCTAGAGTTTCAAAATACAAACAAACTATTAGATAGTCAGTCGGGATACACTCAGTCTGAACAAATTATCCCAGAGTCGGTTGCCTTTATTATGAAGGATCATATAGCATAAATGTAATAAATATGACCAACAGATTATCATATTTTTTCCTTGCTGATGTTCTGTAAAAAATGTACTAATTTTAAAGTACTTCATGGGTACATTCTATGAAAACCGTGACCCGTCAAAACCGCGTTCCACAAAAGCGCGGTCGACGAAATCGCGTATGTGACGTCATCACAANCACACACACACACACACACACACACACACACACACACATATATATATATATATATATATATATATATATATATATATATATATATTCCAATTTTAAAACCACAGTCAACTTCTTTCAACCCAGCTTCCCACAGAATAACCTGTTCTTCCTACTGGTTAAATAAATAAGAGAGAAGTATATAAGGCATGTCTTGTTTCATGAGGAACTCTTGGTGCTCTCTGAGCTTATTTGTTTTCTTGCAGACATTTCACTTCTTTGCCAAACTGCAGCCAATCCGTTTCATTATGTTCAGTCTGTCTGTGGCTACCTGAACTGTGTATAGGTTTCTACTAAGAGCAATGAGCTGTTCTGAGATTTCCATTTGCCTCAGTACATTCCACAGCTGGATGTGATCAACACAAGTGAATGAGACACATACTGAGTTCTTTTTGGTATTCATTGGCTTTCTCAGTCATCCAGTGTGCATCAGCAATAATATTTTGTATTCCTCAGCCTTTTCTGAAGGATTGAACATCTGGCATCATTATTCTATGAAGGGCGGTAATCTGTGCTAGTTTATTTTACCAGCATTGGAATTAAGGATATTGTATCGTAGTTTGCACACTTTATGAAACCTCCTTTTTTTTTTTTTTTAACTGGAAGGTAGATTGGCCTCTTATTATTTTTGGCCACTATGTCAGTCTCCAGATTTGTTGGCATAGTATGGTTAGAAAAACATTCCCCAAAATGATTTCCAAATAGTGTTTAAAATGATGTTTGGAAATTCTCAGCATTCCTCAAATAGCATCAATCTATCTGATATCTGCTTAGCTCAAAGATGAACTTGAGCTAAGGAGGTACAAGTTTAAAACCAATAGCACTAACCAGATAATCTTGTTTTAGTTACCATCTCTTAGTCTGAGCAATCTTTCAGATTACTTATGGCGCTAATACTGTAGAGAGTTCACTCCTCTAAGAACACTTCCATATGGCCAGCTCTCAAAAATCATCACTCAAAGTCTCTGAGCTGATATTTGCAAAGTATTAATGATAACTATTGAAGAGCCAGAGCCAATCTGCACTTTTTTCAACTAACCAAAAAAATATGGATTTTAGTGCCAGGCTGGGTCCTAACTCTTTGCCTTGTTTCATTAGTTTGTTCTGAAGAAGAAAAGGAAATCAGTCAGTCAGCTGCAAAACACTACAGAGTCACAATGGAAAAGTCATGTGGTAGGTTATCAAACTGATCAAAATGTTTCCAGTCCCTAAATTATAGAGAACCTTCTCAAATTACAAAATAGTGGCTGGATTGCCCAAAGACAATGTCAGCTTAGGAAAAAGGACTTTACACCACTCTAGCCAAAATCAAATGGTAAGATATCTATTTTTTTAAAAAAAAAAAAAATCTCGAAAATGATTTCTTCCAATATTAAAGCATAGTTTGGGTTGTTGAATGGAGGTTATTTCTCCATTAAGAGCTAAATTGTTGTATTAATTGAATTGGATTTTCCATGTACAAGCAATTCCAAAATACTTTGGAATACTTGTTTTCCACTTTGGGGATTGTCCATTAAATTGTCAAAAGCAAGGGTAGCAGAAGAAGAAGGAAAAGAAAAACGAGGACAAAGTCATAAAAATGATAATGTGGTCATCCTGCTGTTTTGCACAGGAAAAAAAATAGTTTTACTCTACTGTCTGAAGTTAGTTTGGTTATCATTTGCTCAACAATGTGGCAGGGGGTAAGGCTGAAGAAGAGGTAAGAACAGGCTCATTAACTTCAAGTAGTAAATTACCTCTCCATTTCACCATGGTGTGAATTTACCGGTCATTAATTATTTGCTTCCAGAAAAAATATAATTAAATTATCTTTTTTTTTTCTTATTTACACAAATTACAAGCATATAGTTCCCATTGTTACTTGCAATACACAAAGCATTCAGCCATTCTTTTACGTGTGTATTAATCGGTAGGCATATAGATGATTGCCAGTGTTAAGCTGCATATGTGTTAATTTGTAACTCGGTGGGCATGATGCTATATTGTATGCTTTAATAAGTAAGAGTAATTAAAGTGGTTTAGAATTTCACATTTGGATTTATGAACTTAATGTTATCAAAACTGGGCTATGAATTACCTATCCTACTCTCCTTAAACACACACAATTAACTTCTGACAAGCTTTGTTGTATTAAAGCAACACATGCCATCATGTGGCTAAGCCCTAGAACTGCTTCTTTCTTAGTACTGATAAATTATTCATAGAATCATAAAAAAATACTGTTTCAAAAATCTACAATGAGTATACTAAACAGCCATAAATATGAAAAATAGTCTGAGTTGTCATTAAAAGATTTTCCTTCTTAAAAAAGCAATGCATACATTTTTCATTTTCCCCTCAACTTTGCTTACTTTTTCTATTAAATTTACAGTCAGATCATTAATTAATTTCTCCAGGGAAAATGTATTTTTGACAGCCAGGTGACTTTGGGCTTTCTCTTAGCCAAACCCACCTCTCATGCTTGTTGTTTTAGAGAAAATAGGAATAAGAAAGAGTATTAGGTATGTTTGTTGCCTTGAATTATTTATAGAAATAGTAAAGGTTGGATAGAAAAAACAAACAAACAAACAAATAATAAAATGTGCTTGAATGCAAATACATATTTTAACAGCGCAAAATAGAATATGTTGAGCTTATAAGTTGACATCTTTATAGTTCAGTGCATCTTGATATGTACATTTAAGACCATGAGCACATAGAACTACATGACTGTTTTCAACTTCTTCACCATAATACCGATTCTACCTTTATTATATACATATTGTATATGTATTATATCATTGTATACAAAATGTGTATCAACTTGAGGGCTATACTTGGCTTTTTAGCAGGGCCATAGTCTAAAAGTGGTGGGCTACTTTAAAAGAAAATTAGCTTTTATATTATCCATTTATATTACGGTATTGTGTCTAGTTATATTTTTATGGAGGAGGAGGAGGGAGAGAAGGAAGGAAGGAAGGAAGGAAGGAAGGAAGGAAGGAAGGAAGGAAGGAAGGAAGGAAGGAAGGAAGGATATGTGATTACCTGCAAGAGGTAATGCAGTGAACACAAAAAGAGAAAGTAGAGAAAAGATAGAAAAGTAAAAAGAAAGATAGGGTAGCATTTAGGAAAGTGGTGCAGTATAGAATGAATAAGAATTGAGTTGGACATGGCGAGAAGATGGTAGAACATGGGAACTACTAAGGGCCACATCCAACTCACTGCCAGCTTGCATATGGACTGATGTGAAGTGTTTGCACTTCTGTCCTAGACTAGTTAAACAGAGGATTTTTGCAAACTTTTAATCAGTTTTTTCTTAAATTCTTTCAAGATTCTAAAAAAAACCTACTATAGAATATGTTCCTGATTTCTTTCCTTGCACTGGGAATGTCCACAGAATTTCACAGGAGATGATTACAGATATGAAGTAGAAAAGAATGTAGAACTTAACATAGTAAGAAGCATTGTCAGCATTGATTGGTATTCATTTTTTACAGGAATAAAGGATGAATATAAACAAAATAGTCTAGAATCCTCTTATTCCCATCACCCTTTATACAGTGTTCCAGACTTGGGTCTGAGTCAAGTGCTTACTTGGCTAACCTTGTTCTTCATAGTGCTGAAATCAGTAGCTGAGATTCCATCTGTGCCACATAGTTTTTAGTGTGATCCACTTTATTTATGTCCTTCATTCTTCAGGTATATCTCACAGAATTATATCTTATATTATGGGACATAAGTTCAAATGCAAAGGACTCACATTTAGTAAATAGAGATGAACCCACTCACCTTCCGCAACATCATCATCAACTGTAAGTTTGAGACTCTTTCCTCGGCGTACCACACGGACTGTGTGCCACTCATTATCATTGAGTTTTTGCCCAGCATAAAGGGTTTCTGGTCCTTTACCTGGAGACAGCAGCAAGTAGAAGCAAGTGTTAAAGTCACATCAAATGCATAGGAACATTTTGCTTGGTTGGAAAAAAAAAACCACCACTGAAATCACCTTGGTGTGAATACACAGAAGCTACTTAATTCAGAGATGGCAGAAAGATATGCACTTAGATATCTAATAAACTTGCACATTTGGTCTAATTAAAACTGAAGGAGGTTATTATTCTCTTACAATGACTGCTGTCCTTTTTCTGTATAGAAAGTATTTATGTGTTCTTCATGTTTTATCATCTAGTAGATCGGTATCTTACCTTTCCTCCCAGAACTGAAGCTGGCTTTCGTAAGAATCTTCTTTCATTTTTGTGCCTACCCAAGTCTTGTGAGATAGGCTTGGTTGAGAAGAGGTGATTGGATAATGAACACTCACTGGCTAAGTGAGTTCCCATGGCTAATGATGAATTTGAATCTGGACCTTCTTGGGTCCAATCAAACACCTTAAACACTATTGCCATAAAGGCACTTTTATCATTCTTAGATTAAAGTTTATCACAGAAACTAACATGTCATTTCTTAATTTCATTATCAATGGATCTTCTATTACTCCTGATGATAACTTATACCAGATTGTTTTCAGCAAGCGTGACTTCACATTAGGTCAAGCATAAACCACATCAAAACCACTGTATTCACTTTATGCCTTGCAACAGGTATTACAATCATTCCGGACTTCTTCCTCTGTTTTATTACTAAAGTATTTTTGCAGGCCTAATTTCCATGTAAACATTTTCTACAAATTATCTGGTAAACAATGCTCCTAAAGGCAAAATTGGATGCAACACTTTTTAGTTTTGTTTCCCAATAAATATACATTTAAAAATTCAGTGCCATTAGAGGAAAAAAAAAACAATCTCATTTATGGTAAAAACAAAACCATGTATATTGTGGTGTGCATAAATGAGCTCCAACTACAAAAATAAAACTAAAAGCTCTTATGGTGTAGGAATATGCAAACAGCATTAACTGAAGTTTAAAGGCTTTCACTACAGCAGATTCTACTGAAATGGAACTTTGGGTAAACTGAACTTCAGTGATGTTTCTATGACCAGGCATTACTACCATATGTGGTGGTTGTGCCAAAAAGCCAAAATATACTGGCAGAATATCCGAAAGTGGTTGATAGAGATAACCGAAGAGGAAATAGAATTCACACTGGAACTATTTCTCTTGGGAATTATAAACAAGAAATATAATAAGGGGGTAATCTTTCTAACAATACATATTATCACGGCAGCAAGAATGGCCTTTGCCCAAAATTGGAAAAACAGGGAAACTTCACATGAAGGGGAAATAATTAGGAAAATCTTGATCTGCGCTGAAATGGATAAAT